AGCTCAGGTCTGCGAGCCGCTGCCCAGCTTGCCGGAGGTCAGGAGCCACGCGGAGGCCTCCCTGCGCTCGCTCGGCCCTGCTCACAAGAGGCTGCGGGAGCCCGAGCCGTACCAGGTGGGCGAGCTGGGATCGCGGGGCAGCCAGGGGCGCTGGCACGGGTCTCGCCTGCTCCTGCCCTGCCCCGGGCGGGGTGTGCGTTGCTCTCTCCCAGGCGGCGATGGATGTACTGACTGGCTCCTTGCCTCCCTGCTCCCAGGTGGCCACGACGGAGAAGCTGCACGTCCTCCTCCAGACCCTGCGCCAGGCCAGCCAGTGAGCTGTGCCCGCGGTCCAGGCGAGGCGCAGCGCCTGCTGCAGCTTGCCAACGCGCCAGCCCGCCCTGCCGCAGCCGGTCCCTGGGGCGCAGCTCTTCTCTGGATTGCTTACAGGCCCTGCTCGTCCAGCGTCCTCGCGGCTTTGCTCCCTTGAGCGCAGCGCCCGGCGGGGATGGCTGAAACCACAGCCCTGGGTGCAGAGGGGAAGGAGAGGATTTGAAAAGCCAGGGGTAGAGCCCAGCTCCCCATGGTGTCCCGCTGTATTGGGCGATGCAGCAGTCTCTCCCACTCTTGCCATCTGAGATCGTATCTGACCCAGTGGGCTGTTGCTGATCAAAGCTCGTGCCTCTTCCCCGCCGGCGGTCGGGGTCCTGCCTTGCTCCGGGCTTATGAAGGCCTGGCAGCATGCTAAGTGCCTTGCCAGCATGTGCCTTTTGCTGAAGGACCCACTGCAGCTCCAGCAGCTGGGACCAGTTTCAGGTAGCGATGTGCAGGGGAATGGTCCTAGCTTGCGTCCTGCCGGAGGTGAAAGACTAGGCCTGGGATTCTCAAGCAAAGCACCCCAGGGTGCTGCGAGATCCTTTGAAGGGTGCCACCAGCTGATGCACAAGGTTAGCACTGCGAGGTGTGCAAAACACCTCCGCCTCGCAGGATAAACCCGGAGATTTCAGATAGGAACCGAGTGTCCGAAGCACCCTGCCATGCCAGGCTCCCTCCGAGATCTGCCCCGCAAGGATGGCTCTCAGGTTTTTCTCCAGGAAACAGCTGGCGTTTGCTGAGTGTGAGAATCGCCGGGCTGGACTCTCATCCTGATGCAGCGCTGCCTTAACCCTGTACGAATATGCACACACCTGTTTGTATTCCTCTCAATGAGCTTTAGTAGCTAGGAATTATTTGGCGCTCAAAGCCATGTGCATTCCTGTGCCTTATGCCCGTGTAGGGGGTTTTAGCGCGGCGCTCTCACGCTGATCTGCCTGGCAGCAGAGACCGCAACTGGGCTCTGACCAGGTCGGATGGCATGAGCGTCCCCCACGCATTGCTGCTTCTGGAACTGGCTGAATGGGAAATGCTGGACAGCTGGGCCGCGGCTGACGCTCCAGTCACACACTACTGCGAGAGCAGACTTTTTTGGAGCGTTTCCTACTTCTGAGCTAGCAGCGAGCCCTATTTTTGCAGAAGAG